AAAGTAGGATAGGACGAGACGGCTTGACAAATTCATTTTTGAATGGTTATATGACCATAAGAATTATTATTATTATTATTATTATTATTATTATTGTTGTTGTTGTTGTTATTTTTGGATGTTGCGGTTTTATGTTCTCCTTCATGGTTTGAAATCTGACAGCTAAATACAATTAGGTTTTAAAATTAAGCAGACGAGCCAACATCGTAAAGGAGAGAAACATTAACACGATGTATGTGTTGACGAATTGGCCTAGATTACTACCGAAGCCTTGTCTTTAATAATAACAAGAATAGTAATGAAACTTTGTGAGTTGATTGATGGCATTTTGTTTTTTTTGGTTTATGTCTTTTTTTCCCGTCACTTTTCTTCCTCCACCCGCATGTTTCTGCAGGAGATGTCTGGCTCCTTCCGTCGGTGACAGGATGGGAGGGCTGCTGTCAGCTTCAACTTGCCGCGTTTAGGAATTTGTCATAGCTACACTGTTCATGAAGGCGCCATCTGTGTGATGGACTCGGGCATAAAAAGTTGTTGCGTTTGAAGCTACGGAGCTTCCAGTAAAAGACGGTGGAGAAATGGGGATTCAAAGTCGTCACAGAGCACATCGCTGCTTTGAAATCCATTTTCTGCCGGAACCGTTTGATGGCCCAGGTCCACGCGCTCCCAGCTCTGTGTCACGTCTGAAACTCGCGCATTTGAAGAGTCCTGATGTGATGTGAAAGTCGACGGCTCGTGACCTCGCGACCACAACCATATTAAAATGCTGTCACGCGCAGCCACAAGTGGACCTGGGATTTATCAAGTTCCCTGCAGTTGAGCAGGAGTTGTGCCAGCCTCCTCCTCCTCCTCCTCCTCTTTCTCCTCTTTCTCCTGCAGAGACACGGAACTCAGAATCGACGGAGAAGAACTGAGCAAATGATCTACTTTTCCCCTGTACTTCCAGGGCGGTAACGATCAGAGGGTCTCGACACTCCGCACGCAGCCATCGAGCGAGCTGCGGCCGCCCGCTTTGCCATCATTAAGCGTGAAAACAGAGGCTGTGATTAAGAGGGGGCTTCCCCGGCAGATGATGCCCTTTCCTGCGGGCCGCTGAGGAGCAGCGTCGACCCCTCGCTCCTTCCACTACTTTGTTGTTGTTGTCTTTGTACGGCTGATGCGAACATGATGGACGGTTCTCTCTGCCGCCCAGCGGGTATCCTCGGCGCCCCCCCGGCCACCGGGAGCCAGTCCGCGGGCTCAGACATGCTCACCTCCGGCGGCAGCACCAAACCTCTCGCTTTCTCCATCGACCGGATTATGGCCAGGACACCCGAACCCAAGTCGATACCGCTCAGCACCTGGTTCCAGACCTCTCCCGTGGGGAAGCCCGACATGTGTCCGTCCTCACTGCACTGCATGATCCCGCTGGTACCGCTCGGGTATGAGGCAGGCCACCGACTCAGCATCAGCGGGCTGGATCCGGGCCACTTGGACGGCTCTCACCTGCCGGCTCCTGTAGACATTTTGGGATTCGGGTTGAATTACCGAACCCAGCAGGAGGACTCCGTTGTGAGCCAAAGCAGCGGTCAGTACAAACTTTTCAGACCGCGGGTGGTGAACCAGTCCTCCCTCTCCACCGTGGGCACCATGTGCTACCTGAACTGCACTGGCGATGGAGGGGCCTGCGCCCCGCCGGCCGGCCTGGTTAACCTGCACCCGATGGCCTCGTACCTCCTCACCGCCCGACACAAAGCCCTCATCGCGGAAAAGAGCAAACACCAGGGCGGAGAGCGCTACTCGGTGTCCGGGGTGCAGGCCTTCAAGCAGCTCTCTCCCAGCCAGATCCAGCACTACATGAAGGAAAGGGATCAAATGCTCACGGACAAGATGTTTAAAGGTTCCCCGGCAGCAGCGGCCCGACTGAGCGGCTCCTGTTCCGGCAGCAAACCCAAAGTGTTCACCTGCGAGGTCTGCGGAAAGGTGAGCCGGAGCCGCGGCGACTTCCAGCATCCTGCAGGAGCGGAGGGCTTTTATCGCCTTTTAAAGATTTTTTAAAAAGATTATTTCTGTCTAAATATGGCAAAAGTTTAATTGTTATGACTGGTTTACCAAAAAATATATAACGGCTTTACTTTTCAACATTTTAATTTGGACACACTCAAAAAGGAAAGGAAATTTAAAAAAGGAAAGGTAATTAAATTTGTAAATAAAGAAACGAATTAATAAAATGGACCCTAATTTATTACTTGCTTTTCAGCCCTGGTTTTTTCTGTTTTAGTTTTCTTCTGTTGGATAGACAATTTATGTCTTTGCTTGCTGCTCGAACGGGAAAATAGAGGCCCAATAGATAAGAAACGGCAAAAATGATTACTATTTCTATGTATGTTTTGCTGTTTTAAAAATTCAGCAATTCCAGATTTTCGTTTAAAAAAACATAACACGAAAGAGCGACTCGCTGCGGCGTTTTATCATCTGATGGGAGCCGGGAGCCCAAAACAAACTCCGGTTATTTGATGCGTTAATGAGACTCATTTTCACGGAAGTGGATGTGATCATTCAGAATCAAGGGGGATACGAGATTGTTTTTTGGGGGTCGGAGATTGGTTTGTTTTGTTTCTTTTTTGAAACTTGGTAAATTACAATAAAACAATCTTATAATAATAATAATAATAATAATAATAATAATAATAATAATAATAATAATAATAAAGCAGTAGGTGTAGTCTGATCTTAGTCTTCGTTCCTCTTCTCATTTCGGTATATTTTTCCTCTGTCAGGTGTTTAACGCGCACTACAATCTGACCCGGCACATGCCCGTGCACACTGGCGCGCGGCCGTTCATCTGCAAAGTTTGCGGGAAAGGGTTCCGTCAGGCCAGCACGCTGTGCCGACACAAGATCATCCACACTCAGGTGAGACCGAGGAGCGCTGCTCGGCGGGCTTCTGCTTTGGTTTCATGGTTTAATTCTGCAAAATGCTTTGAATCAAAATTATTAAGCCTGTTTATTGATTGATTGGTTTGTCTTTTTAGAAAATTATTTGCTGGTCTATTTACTATTTTAAATAGAAATGCAAATCACGTTTAGTTCGTTCTAAGATGGTTGAATAACATTCGACCATCGATCAACTTTAAAAATGTGTTTCATTTATTTCATAACATTTATCCAGATTGAGCCAGAAAACCCAGTTCGCAGTAATTTATTTTGAAAAAGATTTCACCGAACTACATATTATTTCAAAGTTTTAAAGAAACAGGGGGTAAAACAGTATGGTTAAAAATATCAGCATAAAATGAAATGTAATTTTCCAGACTTTTCCCCGTCGGTCAGCTGACCTGCGTTTTTTCTTTAAAGCTAATTTAATGAGATTGCTTCTGAACAGTTAGTGCTATGGCTTAAAATATTTGTTCTGTTATTAAAAATGGAAAGATTTTAATGAGTGAAATTAAAAGAGTCTGTATTTTAGTTACACTGTAAAATTACTCAGGTTAAAATAACTACTTTTCTGGTAACCATTATCCCGCAGATTCCACGTGTTTTCTCATTATTACATTATATTTGAATTCTACACTGAAACTAACTCATAGTTTGGTAGGTTACATTGACAGGCTTCTACAAAACTCAACAGAAAAAACAATCAATTAAATTGGACCACTGTCAGGCTAACATTCTCAAAAAGCTTAAATTAGAACACTAACAGATAAATTGTCATAATTTTGCCCCATATTTCCAGAACAAAATAATTGTAATATGTATTGATGTTTTGCAATTTTACTGGAGAATATAATTGATACAATGCTGAGGAATAAATTGGCCAGTTTTTTCAGGTAGAATGTGTGAAAATAGAAATATAGTGTAATGATAGCCCATGTTATTATTTAATCTGATTTAATTTTAATTAAATCAGATTAACTGTAGTAAAGAAGCATAGATTTCCATTTTAGAATAAAAATATGGACAAACTTTCTATAGACATGTTTAAATTCATAAGTTTTGTGAGTTTGCAATAACTGGCTTGTGAAAAAAGCATTTCACCTGATTATATTTGAATTTGTCTGAAATAGGGCATTCATTATACAAACAGTCTCAAATGGATCATTTGAACTCTGAACATCCATTGAGATTCACACTCTGCTTCAGGATGTGTGTTTTAAATAAGAAGGCCAGATGGGCCCGTTTTGTAGACTGTGGCTCGTTTTAGTGAATTGAGACACAGAAAATGTAACAGTGATTTTTAAAAAAAAGTCTTTTTAAAAATAGGAAAATTCACTAGTGTTACTCATAGCATCATTAACAAGCCTGTTAGACCAGTGGACCAATCAAAAGATCACTTATTACTGAGAGGCTGTAAAATTAAAAAAATAAAAATGAATTGATGAAAATGAATTGATAAATCATGTTTACTTATTTTAGCTTCAATATTCTGGAAATAAAATAGAGTATAAATTACTGTGATTGCTGGCTATATTTAATTTTCCAGCTCTTTATGTTTGTTTTAGTGAGGTACAGTTCTTTAGCTGGTTGTGTTGTAAAGAATGAAGGAGGTCAAGGACTCGGCTAACAGAGCAAAACATTTGCTGTGGGCCTCTTTATTGATTCTGTATATATATAAAAAAAGAAGTTACAATTATTAATGCAGATATGATCAATATAGCAAACAAGTCATTCTGAAAATGTTGTTTTATAAGACAGAATATTTTTTGTCAAAATAAAATACACTGCTCAAAAATATAAAGGGAACACTCAAATAACACATCCTAGATCTGAATGAATGAAATATTCTCATTGAATACTTTGTTCTGTACAAAGTTGAATGTGCTGACAACAAAATCACACAAAAATCATCAATGGAAATCAAATTTATTAACCAATGGAGGCCTTGATTTGGAGCCACACACAAAATTAAAGTGAAATGTTCCCTTCATTTTTTTTAGCAGTATACTTTAATGTGAAATTTAGCATAACTAAAATCACAAAAATACCTGCTATGCATCCATACATCCCTACAGTATTCCTTAGAATGTGTTGGGTATATTTTAAAGATAGTTTATCCCCAGTGACATGATTAATTAAAAAATATCTCACAAATTTTTTTTGCAGGAAAAACCTCACAAGTGTAACCAGTGTGGGAAAGCCTTCAACCGGAGCTCCACGCTCAACACGCACACTCGGATCCATGCAGGGTACAAACCGTTTGTGTGCGAGTTCTGTGGGAAAGGATTCCACCAGAAAGGTGAGAAAAAAACAACATGAAGGGAATCCTCTGGATCAAAGCTCTTCCTCTGACACCTTTCATTTGATGCTCTGTGTTTTAGCTGGAAGACGTGATCGAAGGAGTAAATCCATTTCTTTTGTCATACTTTAAACCAAATGAATTGACTTCTTGTGGAGTGAGCTTCTCCTCAGTGGCTCTCCAGGAGAGCAGCAGCAGTCTGTGGGCTTTGTTCTGAATGCAAACATTTCACAGAGAGTCGCCTAATGACTTTCCCCAGAAGCAGGCTGAATGCCAGTTCACAGCAGCTGTCAGCAGCATACAGTAAACACACATTGTGGAAGATAGAAAAATATCCATGCACAAACCGGAATCCCTTTATCAACATTATTAATGTTGCCCTTAGAGCACTGAAAGAAGTGTTCAGTGATGTACAGCTGAGGAAATGTTAAAGGATAAAGACAGCATTTTAATATTGCTGTATGTATTGGTAAAGATCACAGCGATGCTTGAAGGGTGTCATGAAGGCAAAGGGTGACATTTCTAGATTACAACACAATGCACATGTTAGAAACATAGATGGATCAAAACTTGATAAATCAAATGTAGATTAACTGTCACTGTTATACTCAGCAAGAGTTTAATGACACAATTAAGCATGTGAATAGAATATCAATAAATCAGAGTATTTCTGAAAAATGTATTTATTTCAGTAACCATTCACATGTAGATTCATTACACAGACTGTTTTCAAGTCTTTATTTCTGTTAATAATAATGACGATGTACATCACATAACTACCTCATGTGATGTAAGGTAGTTAATTAAACTTTTCATAATCTGATATAACAATTCTCATATGCACTTCAGCAGCATACATCCATATATATATATATATATATATATATATATATATATATATATATATATATATATATATATATATATATATATATATATATATCCTCTCCTCTTGTTGTGCTACACAGCTGCAGGATCACATTTAACCAGATCTTCTGTGTTTAATATTTATTTCTTTTAACACCATATTCAGATACTGCATGTCTGAAAGTACAGTGCTACAGCCTCCTTACATTCAAAGCAACATATTGCAAGCATATTCTGTTTTGTATTTTGATTAGTTATTGATTCAAGTAGTCTGAAATTATTCCTTGGTAGGGTCAATTGCTAGAGTGATTTCATTAGGATTTGTGTGGGCGTCATTTTGCTGATTAACAATGGTTTCAGAGCAAAGCCAGGGAAAGTATGGTGCAGATTGGAGTTTATTAACCTCCAAGGTCTCGAAAGAAGCAACAGCCCTCCCAGCTGAACAGTTGTATAATAATAACTATTTGCCTATTAGAAACCGAAAATTAAATGGTTAAAGTCTTAAATCTGTGAAATTGTGTCATGAAGCGTATAGAATATTCTCTAAAACATAACTATAGTAAAGACTTTGCCATTTAAAGATCGCTTCTATTCTTGCTCAAATGTTTCAGATCATCAAAAAAAATTATACAAAGGAAAAGATATAAAGGACTTTAAAAATAAAATGGATTATTATTATTAAGGTGGGAGAGTGGAGAACTTTGTGATGGGGGTCGATCTCCCAGGATTAGTCAAACTGTTCAATAACGACTCATTCATTAACTTTTCCACGAGCCAAAACATCAAAAACATCAAGCCTCACTTGAAACAGTTAAGGTCAGAGCTCATTTTCAGCAATAAGCCAAAATCACCTCTATGAATGAGTTAAGTGACCCAAAAGACTATAAACATTTGTTTCAGGTTTGCTGAAAACATCTTGATGGTCCCCAAAAGTATTTAGGCAAAATGTTCTTTGGATTACTGGCTAACCCAAAGGCAGGAGGACAGCAGAGGCTGGGGTTAGAGACATCATCATCATCATCATCATCATCATCATCATCATCATCAAATTTATTTATAAAGTGCTCTAACACCAGCTGCAGCTGAAACAAAATACTGAACATCTGTAATATATATGATGTATATATGATGTATGATGCATTAAACAAACAAACAAACAAACAAAAAAACACAGTCAGACAGACAAGATCAATATCAATAAAAATTTGAGTAAAATCAGGTTTCAGTTGGGTTGAAGGCCAATGAGTAAAATAACTTTTCAGACGGGTTTTAAAAATGGACAGTGATATGTAATGGTTGAATATGTAATGGTTGAATATGTAATGGTTGAATATGTAATGGTTGAATATGTAATGGTTGAATATGTAATGGTTGAATATGTA